TGACGTCACCCGTTAGATAATGATCGATTTGACCAAATCGATACTTTGGGGGTGTCATTTGTCCCTGCTTTTTTTTGAGGGGTGGATCCGTCCCTACCCATATTTGTCAGGGGCTGATTTGAGGGTTCTGCCATAAAAAAAAACTTTTTTAATACTAATTTCTTACTTTAAAAGATTTGAACTTGATATCTTAAAATAAACTGAGTTCTTTATAAAAAAAATTAAATTTTTTTATTTAAATCAATAAATTATTATTAATTTTTTTAAATATTAATATCAAAAACTTTAAAATTAATTCATAAAACTCTACTTATTTTCTAAAGTTTAACCCTTCAGTTGATACCTGAGAAGGCCTGTGGAGATGTGCATTAAATGAGTATGGAATAATGGAACTACCACTACCACGCCAACTGTTATAAGAATTTGTATTATAAGAATTTGTATTACATTAATAAATGCGTTTCCCGTTCTTTTTTTATTTTTTTTTTATTTTTAAATATATTATAATTATTTTCGAGATAATTGAGAATGAAAAAAAGGGCTTTTATGGGACTCAAATTAAAAAAAAAAAAATTTATGAGACTCAAACCGTAAGGTGAATAACCTTAATCCAAGTTCTACTGCCCCTACCGAACCGAAGCGAACCGTTGTTTCCCGTTTTCTTTTTAATCTACACTTTCTATTGGTGGGATTTTGCTTCCAAAATCTGTCTTACCAAGGACGTGCCGTGGGCAGATGCACCAACTTTTCTTAGTGGAAGCCTCGCCTACGGTAACCTGCTTTTCAAAGGGTAATTTAGTCATCTCACTGGCTCCCCAACAGTATTTACGGCGACTAAACGCAATGATCCAGCGTAAACGCGGACATAACCGGAAATTCACACCTTTAAATTATTATTATTCTCCGCCTTAAGAATCCCGTTGCACTCAAACGATGGAGAAGGCAAGGAGCAGAAGCTTTTCTGTTTCTTTAAGAAATCTGAAAGAAAACCAGAGAAGATTTTCTCTTCAGAGAGAAAAAAACTCACAGTAAATTGCTGATCTCAGCCAGACATAAGGTATAATTCTCTTCAGTTTCTGTGTGTTAATGTCCTTTTCACGTCAAAGTTTGTAGCTTTCTCTGAATTTCGGGCTCGAACTTCGATATATACTAATTTGGAGTTCACTATGGATTTTCCTGGGAAACATGGGGAAAGAAATTTGGAAGTTGGGTGTTTGCTCAAAGGTCGAATTTTTTATGGAGGAATCTTGGGTTCTGTTTTTCTTTGTGAATTTTGTGCTCATGTCTCTGGAGTTTTTTTTTTTTGTTGTTTTTCTGAGTAGATTGTGTTCATTTAAAGTATTGATTGAAGCTGCTTTCAGTTACTGTTTGAATTCCTCAATCCATAGGTTTTGCAGATTGTATCTTCTCTTCAGTGAGAAGAACAGAATTTTTTCATCTTTTTCCTTAGTTTCGTGATTTCAGTGTTACCCTTTGAAATATGTGTTGAATTTTGACTTGAGTAAATTATAATTTCAAGGAGTTCCTTGAGTCAATTTTCTGGCAATTTTGGAGGTAGATTTTATTTAGAAATACTTGGTTACTGTTAATTTTAGAATCTGGGGATTAGAGTCTCACATGATTTCTCTATCAGTTTTCCAGATTTCTAGGATCTTTTAGGGGAAGCTGGGACTTTTCTTCCTCTTTTTCGAGAGAGAGAGGATTACTACATGGGTTCAATTTCTGAAACGGCAGCTGAAATGGGTTACAGCAAGCCTCTCGGAATTCAGTTCTTAGAATGCATAAGGAGACGTAAACTTTCCTATAAGTCCTACCAAGCCATTGTCTTGATTGTAACATTTTTGGCTTATACCAGCTACCATGCTGCAAGGAAAGCCACCAGCATTGTTAAGAGTACTCTTGATCCTGAAGCATCAGATATAGGAACAGGGTTGAAGTTCCCATTTAGGATAAGTTATGTTCATGAGCCAGCTGAAAACAAAAAATTCTCTTGGGTGCTCAAAGATGGTTGGGCACCATTTAATGGATCTGATGGGACGGCCCTGCTTGGTGATCTAGACCTGGCTTTCCTATCAGTCTACGCTGTGGGAATGTACTTTTCTGGTCACTTGGGTGATAGACTGAATTTAAGAATCTTTTTAACAGTGGGAATGTTAGGAACTGGTTTGTTTACCTCATTTTTTGGTGTTGGTTACTGGGCAAACATTCACAGCTTCTACTATTACTTGATCGTTCAAATGCTTGCTGGTTTATTTCAATCAACTGGATGGCCTTCAGTCGTTGCAGTTGTTGGTAACTGGTTTGGAAAGAAAAAGAGAGGCCTGATCATGGGCATATGGAATGCTCACACATCTGTAGGGAACATTACTGGTTCTCTGGTTGCTTCAGCAATGTTGAGCTATGGATGGGGTTGGTCGTTTGTTGTTCCTGGTCTCATTGTTGTTTTCATTGGAGTGGTGGTTTTTCTCTTACTACCTGTTAGTCCTGACTCTGTTGGTGTTGATAAAGAAGAAGATGAATTGCATTTTACCAAGAAAAGTGGAGATGAAGAAGTAACTGAACCTCTATTAAGGTCAGATCCTGAGCATGAAGAAAAAGCTGTGGGGTTCATAGAAGCATGGAAAATCCCTGGGGTGGCTACATTTGCTTTATGCCTCTTCTTTGTTAAGTTGGTTGCTTACACATTTCTCTATTGGCTCCCATTTTACATTGCCCATACAGGTATTTGGATTTTGGAATTTTTATAATTCTCATTCTACTTGTTATGTTAGATTCGTTTAGGATTTTGCTTTGTCAACTCTCAATAGAAGACTTCTTGCTTTGATCTACCATATTTTCTGTCCCAACTGAAGTGTAGATCTCATAATTGTTTGTCAAAAGATTTTCTTAATTTGTAGTCCTCAAAACATGCTAAATTCCTGGATTATAAAATAATCTTGGCTTAGCTGACACTGTAACATCATTGGGTAATCCTCTCTCATATTCCTTCATCTTGCAGCCATTGAGGGGAAGTATCTATCCAGTAAGGCAGCTGGAAACCTGTCAACATTGTTTGACGTTGGAGGTGTGGTAGGAGGGATCTTAGCTGGCCACATTTCTGATAGCCTAGATGCTAGAGCTATAACTGCGGCAAGTTTCACGTATTGTGCTATCCCTGCTCTCTTTTTCTATCGTTGCTATGGGCATGTTTCCCTGGCATTAAACATTGCCCTCATGTTCATTACTGGAATGTTTGTCAATGGGCCTTATGCTCTCATAACAACTGCTGTCTCGGCTGACCTGGGAACACACAGTTCATTAGAAGGGAACTCAAGGGCATTAGCGACTGTGACAGCTATCATAGATGGAACAGGTTCTGTAGGGGCTGCAATTGGACCAGTATTAACAGGTTACATTTCTGAGAAGAGCTGGAGTGCAGTTTTTACCATGCTGATGGCCGCAGCCCTAATTGCAGGGCTGCTGCTAACTAGACTTGTTGTGGCCGAGGTGGCTGCAAAGATTTCTGAATCAAGGTCACAAGGAGGGTCAATATCAAGATCTTCAGAACCAGATGTGTGATACTTTAGGGGGAGCAATTGCTATTGTATTTATATCTAAGATGTGTTATTTTCTAATGTCTTTCTTAGCTCTAGTTGTAAAATGAAGAGGAGAAGACCCTTTGATTATGGCTAGAGCAGGAGATGATGCCTTTTACCCTTCTGCATCTAACTTTGATGCATAGAGGATGGCTATTCTCTTTTTCTGCTTGGTGTTATATGAATGGGGAAAAGTTGTCAAAAGGGGAAAATTGTAAAAGGAAACAAGGAGGATGGGAAAGATGCTCCATGCCCATCTTTATGTACATTCTTGTAATTTGAATGAAGCACCACCATCAAATTATCCTGTACGTATGAAAAAGAAAATATATGGCCCTGTATCTTTTTATTAGGCAAAAAAATCTGGATTATTGAAGAACGAATTGTTTGTCTTGGATTCGAAGAAAAGAGACCACGGGGACTTTGTCCATAATGAATGTGTGTCATGGTCAGTAAAGGTGGGCGTCTATGTTTTACCCAAAAAAAAAACAAAAGGTGAGGGTCTGTATATAGAGTTTTGTACGATATGTGCAAATGCAAATTCACACGCAAAGAGGGAAAAGCAAAGGTGGAGAATAACCTAAGTTTGGTCTCTTATATCTATATATGCACTTACCATCACTTGTGCATCCCACCGGTTGCCATCAAAGATGCAAACAATGCTGGCCCCTTTCATAGCAACTAAAAACGTAGGCCATGTATCATTTTGGCTATCAGGGAATGGGATTGGTGTGCCCAACAAAATTCACTTAAAATAAAACTATAAAAAAAATGTTCAGCTATTTCTTGGCTGTTAGCGAGGTAGGCCATTTACATCAAAAAGAAAAAAAAAGGGGCCATTTACGCAATAATTATAAGCTTAACACATAAGTTTTCTACAATCCAAATGGCATTGACAATCAAAGATGATTCACATGATTAATGAGGTTCTTGTGAGATCATGAGCAGGCCTTACTAATTGTAAGGTTGTGGTGTTTGTGGGGCTGCAAAATATCATTTTGTTTAGTCTTATGCCCTTATCGAAATATTATCACATTATGATTTCAATCAACTTTAGTCAATAAAATGAAAAATTTGTCAGCTCATCACGCTTGAGGTAAAAAAAAATTTTAAATAAGTTTTGTTTTAGTCCATTTTTAATAATTTTCTCATTTTTCTTCTTTTACAAATTCACTACATGAAAGATTTTTAAGAAAAATGGCAAATAATTTTCTTAAATAATAATTAAATTTTATCGAATTAAAACTACTCACATAAATTATACATGAAAAATTCAATTACCATTCTTATGTTACATAAAATATAATTTAAAATATCAAATTGGACAACTAATTCATAGTGTAGTATTAATGAAAAAAATTGTTTTGGGTGGAGGGGTCTTTTCATCATTTCTTTTATATGCATTGGATCTAACCATATTAAAGGTTTATCATACACATGTAAATAGTAGAAATTAATTATTTAAAAAAGAACCCACAGTAAAGCAATGATTGTTTGTTATTTTTTATCCTTTAAACTTTAAAGAATAAAGTTTTACTTGGGGTTGTAATTTAAAGAATGAGAATTAACTAAGAGAAAAAATGGAGAGGAGGAATATAGATTTGGACTACAAAGGTTAGTGTTTTGTCAGCCACTAATTAAAGGAAAATGTCATCTAGCCTAATTGATTAATATTATTTTTTTGGCCAATTACCTAACCTAATTGATTAATTAATTATTTTTTGATGTGCAATTAATTAATTTAAAATTCATCCATTAATTAAAAGTTAATTAATCAATCAAGTGCTAAATTTCGTATGGACCACATATTTTGACCCTGAACCCAGAATTTTGTCAAAACCATCAGTGGAGGTGGGTTCCAATTCAAAAATCAACTACAATTAAAAACCACGCTTGGCGTTTGTGTTTAAAACATTGGCTTAAAAGGCGACATGGTAGACCATATATTAAGGCTCCGTTTTGGCTAAACTTACACCACAAAAATAGTTTAAACTATTAAGAGATAAAATCATGACTTAAAAATTAAGACCATCTTATTTTCTTTTTATTATTATGATTATTATTATTTAAACTGTTCGGGTGTCTCTATTATTAACTTTTCTAATAAGAAAAATAATTTTTGTATAATTTTTTTATTTTATTTTTTTTTACAACTTAACATGTCATTAAAATGATTGATTTTTTTAATTCATGTGAAATCCATAATATTAAATACATATACTCATTTAATGACATGTAAAAATTGTATAAAAATATTGTCTCTATAACTATAACACCACCCTTCTAATAACTAATAAATATAACTCAATCTTTAAAGTGTATCACTATCAAATTACAAGGAATTACACTTCCTTTAATGCTTTTAGTTATCCTACTTCTTTAATTTTATATAAATTAATTTAATAATTTGCTATAATAAATAAATAATAATTAAAATTTTTTTATCTAAATAAAAATACTCAATAAAAAAATATAAAATTTTTATTACTATTAATTTACCATATAAAATTATTTAATTAAATTTTATGTAAAAATCAAATTATAATAATTAAATCCTACTAGAGTGTGTTTAAATTATAATAAGAACCATACCATAGTGTGAGGTACAAGTAACAACTTCGAGGTCATGAGCTCTCAACCTTATCACTACACCTAGACCTCTCGTTGGATATAAGAACAATTTTGACAAAACATACATGAATAAAAAAATTACAAAAGATGAATTAGTAGTAATCTATCTCTTTATCAAATGAATAAAAAAAGCCCCTAATCAGATAAAATTGAATGTTATGAATAAAAAAATTACAAAAGATAAATTAGTAGTAATCTATCTCTTTAATCTTTATCAAATGAATAAAAAAAGCTCTCAATCACATTAAATGAATGTTATGAATAAAAAAATAACAAAAGATAAATTAGTAGTAATCTATCTCTTTATCAAATGAATAAAAAAAAGCTCCTAATCAGATAAAAATGAATGTCTTTAGTCCATTAATTAATTATGTTTGCATTGTGGGAAATGAAGAGAGGGAGGGGAGGAAAAAACAATATGTTTATTGAGGAAAAAATGCCAATAAGCTGTTGATTGGGCTTGGGCCTCAAAATACCTGTCTATTGGAGATTATAGCTGGCTAGCTGGATCTACTTGAAGGCCCAATAGCCTAGGGCAATTGGGTAAAGATACTTCCACCTTGAAAGGGCCAACCAGCCAACAACAGAACAAGCCTACCCAAATCTACTAAACCAACAAGCTGCTAATTGCAGCATCACTGCATCAGATAGAGAGGGAGTGAGAATAGAAAGCATTGATATGGAGTCAACTCAGTCAAGGTAGGTTTAAAATCCCATATTGCCAAGCATTTAACTCTCAATTTTTATTTTTTTTTTTAAAAGAAACATATAAGATTGGCCAATCCTCACACAGCATCACAGAAATCGAACGTTTTTATTGGCCAATCCTCATACAGCATCACAGAAAATTAATGCTATCTCATGAGGTATGGTCCTTGTGGCACCATTGGTAAAATTATGCAGTATTTCTACTCCCTTGTGACAAGAAATACTTTCTAGATGTGGCAACCATTACATGCCTTCTTGAAGCATTTGTAGTCATGAGAATATATATATATATATATATATGTATGTATGTAAGCATAATATTTTGTGCAGTTGGATTGATAAAGCAGTATGGTGAAACTAAGTCACGTTACATTATATTTATATTTCTGTAATTTTTGTTTTTCATTTGGCAAATAATGTTTTGCAGGGTACATTTCTACCGTTGGTTATTCCAGCAACAATATTCCAAGCAGGCCTTTGGTCAATCTGGTTAACTGTTGTATGTTGCCTAAAGGTATATGAAACTGATTTAGGTTTGAAGGGATTTAAATTGCTTGTGACATATCATGACATTGGTTGAGCATATTGTACAGATGTTTCAAGCTTTGGCTAGAGATCGACTTGAGCGTTTGAATGCATCCCCATCTGCTACACCATGGGCATATTTTCGTGTATTTTCAGTGTTATTGTTGGTTCTCTCTGTTGACGTATTCTGGTATTGCTTACCATCCTATCCTTTGTAGTTTGTGAAATTCATTTGTAGTCATTCATTTTCATAATTTTCAGAGTGGAATAGCATTTTAGAAGCTAACAGTTTTAGATTTCTTCTCATGTGCAGAATGGTAACTAGAAAACTGATCTTTCAGCAATGGTAATTGAATTTGTCTAAAATAGAAACCTGACTTAGGGCTGTCATATAGCAACCAGGACTAGCTGGCTAAGAAGAGAGCATGCGAAACATATGAATATAGGCTATAGTCTACTGAGTTCATCCTCCACACTTATGAGTTGGGTAGTTGATTTTAATCACTTTCCTACAATCAAAATAAAAGGGGAAGGGTGAGGAACTGGGGTTGGGGGTGGTGGGCAGCAGAGGATAGGATATGCTATTGGACCTATGACTGGTGTGATGAATCAGCTGGCAAATACCCATTTCCATTTATAAAGCATTTGCTTAGGTTTTTACCTCAGAGGCTTGATACAATTGTCACTTCATAATTTTTATCACTTTATTTACTCAGATATTAACTTAATTACCACCAACATATGGTGCATTTCCTTCAAGAGTATGGTATGTTTATCTAAGAGGAAAATTATTGTCTCTAACATAGAAAGATGGTCTTCTGAATGGTGGAGAACATGACCCAAGTATTTTATGCTCTTTTATATGTGTAAATATGAGGAGCGAGAGCATTATGAGTTTCTTCTCTTCTGAAGGCTACTTTCTTCTTATCTTCTTACTGGCATGGAAATACTTTATGTGTTTGAAAAAGATCATAAAAACTAGTAATGCTCATGTTTCTTTCTTTGTTGTGTTTAGGATAAGGCTATGTCTCATGATGCATAGAACACTTGGTTCATCTTTGTGTCTCCTGCTACTCTTTGAGCCTTTCAGTATTGCTTTTGAGACAATGCAGGTAATATTGATGATGAATATTACTTAGCCTCTTTTCCAATAAATAGGCCAGTTGGCTGTTGCTCTGTAGTATTATACAATAAATATTAGAACCTAGGTCTGATAAGGCCATTTGTTATGCTAAATATCTCTGTAGGCTATTCTGGTTCATGGGTTTCAGCTGCTTGATATTTGGATCCACCATTCAGGAATTAACAACAGAAGTTGCCATAGATCAAAGATTTTTGATTTGTCAGCAGCAGGTATTTCTCATTATTACATTGATGTATGGATGTGATAAGTTAGCTATTAAATGGTTTTTTTGATCTCAGATTCTTGTAATTGGAATGGATATTGCACTGTATCTTCTCTGAACCAAAGAACTTGATTGTTTTCTGTTGTTTTGCTGTTTATAGTATTATCATGTTATTACCATTATAGATAATATTCAGTGTTTTGCATCATTTTAAAGGTTAGGTTGTTAGACACTGCAAATGCATCTTTATTTCCTGCATGTATGATGCCTTCAATGATTGCTAAGTTGGTGTCACCACATATTTATTTCCTGTGTGCATGATTCATTCAATGATTGTTAAATTGGTGTGACCGTGTCCAATGTCAGAGATGGTAGTTTTAATAGCTTTATTGCTCACTTTTCTTATTTGTCTGTGCTTCTTGTTTAATTGTGAACACTTGTAGGCTATTATCATTGTTAAGATAAGTTTTATTTCCTCAATAATATAGGTTTGATAGGATTCTTGAAGTCCTTTGATTTTATTTTATTTACATTTTTAAAGTTTCTCTGTTTGTGTGTGTGTGTGTGTGTTTTTAAATTCTGGCTTGAGGTTTAGATTGTTGTAAATTTTTCATGTTATGATTTGCTTTATTCTGGCTCTTTCTTTTTTCTGCTTTCTCCTAACTCATTGCTGATGCTCCTTTCTTCTGTACTGTATGTGTGAAGTATGTAGGCATTTGGGGTGTAGTTGTCAGTTTATTCAGCGTGCTTGTTGTAGATCTATTGTGTTTCTCTTTTCTTCTGATAGAGTCTGACCACAGGTTCAGTTGGTGAATGGAAAGGCATTCTCATTCGGAATTTGGGTTTCATTTTGGACATGGCAACCCTGTTAATGGCACTTGGCCACTACTTGCATATTTGGTGGCTTCATGGCATGGCATTCCATCTCATTGATGCAGTTCTTTTCCTGAATATTCGTGTAAATATTTGTGTAAATATTCCCTTCAACTATTAAAATATTAGTGACAGTCTATTTGTTAATCTTGAGATCCCATTGCATGTTCTTAGAGTATATAAATATGTGGTTTTCCTGTGCAGGCTTTGTTAAGTGCAATAGTGAAGCGTATAAAGGGTTTTATCAAATTGAGAAGGGCTTTAGGCACCCTTCATGCAGCACTTCCTGATGCAACGTTTGAAGAGATACAGGCTTATGATGATGAGTGTGCTATATGTCGGGTATGCTTTGTTTTTGTTTGCCTTTTTGGTTTTTCCATGAACCCTGAAACTCATTGGATTGGGCAATGACAGGAACCCATGGCCAAGGCTAAAAAGCTCCATTGCAACCACCTGTTCCATCTTGCATGCTTGAGATCTTGGTATGATTCTTTGATAGAACTAAACTGAGTTTTTGTATTCAGAAGTTGGTAAGTCTTAATATAGTGCTGGATAACATGTCAGGTTGGATCAAGGTTTAAATGAAGTTTATTCATGTCCAACATGTCGAAAGCCACTTTTTCTGGGCAGACCTGAAAATGAAACAAACATTCACACTGGAGAAGTGTTAAGTGATGAGCAGCTCGCTCGTCAAATGGCGTTGGGATTTGATCAGCAAAATGCTTCTGGTCATACCCTACCTGCTGGAGTATTCTCAAATCAGATGCAGAATCCAGTAGAAGGCAGTCCTTGGAGGTTCATTTCCATGCTTTCAATTAGAGTAGTCGATTTAGCTAGGCTGTTTTCATGATCAACAGAAGATAGCAACACCATCTCCCCCCCCCCCCCCCTCTTTTCAAATCATGCCTCACATGTCTCAAGGTGCAAAATTGTGACCTCCAATTTGGGGTCTCAAGTTCTTATTGGTTGAGACACCTTTAGGGTATCTTTTTAGTTAGTCTCGAAATATCTTTATGCAGCATTTATTTGAATAATATCTTTCACGAGGAATTTGCATTGAAAACTATAAGGGTTATGCTTATATTATGATTAGAGAAAAGTGAAAATTAGGATGTCCTGCAATTTAAAATGCCAAGATGCCTAATGAAAATTTTTAAATACCTTTAATAAATCTTTCTTATATGTTGATTCATTAGGGGTGTTTAAATAATTTCATAGGGAGTCCTAGCACTTTAATTGCTAGGACGTCTTGATTTTCTGCAATCCCTTATGATTATTATTAGAAATTGTTTTGTTTTAATTTATATGGTGCTTAAGTGAATGAGAGGATGCAAAAGAGGTTGGTTTCATGGTGTGGTGTGGGGAGGCATAGCATGATGTGTATACCAACCCTTTTTGCTGATTCCCTGGCATCTTTGGTCTACAAATATATCCTACATATCTTAATTGTTAATAGAAACTGCTTTTCTACTGTTTGTAGAAAGTAGATATCTTCTGCTTAATCCCATAAGTTGATGATCTTGGAAGAGAGAAGCAAGGCAATAAAAGTGACTGAAATTCAAATATAAACCCAAACTAGCAATTAAACTATTCTAGAATTGTTGTTTTAAAAAGAAAAATGCAAATACTTAATTATCTGCAGTGTTGTAGCTTATTTTCTTAGATATCTTATTCCTTTTTCTCTGTTTGCGCTGTAGGAGTGCAGGATTGGAATCAAGTTGGTTGCATTCTTGGCCAAACCAAGGGGTTGATGGAGCTGGTCCTTCAACTGCTATCAGATCAGTTGGGTTAGGGAGAGTTCAGATGATGATGAGGCATCTTGCATCTGTTGGAGAAACTTATGCACAGACTGCTCTTGAAGATACGGCTTGGGGCCTGTGGCCAATGAATCAATCTCAGGCTGCACCATCTGGTTCATCAATTCCTCCAGCTGCTGGTGGAAGATATCCTGGAAATGTTGGTTTACATATGAGGACCGCCTCGCGGATGACAAATGACAATGTGGCAAACATACTTGCTATGGCTGAGACTGTAAGAGAGGTTTTGCCACACATCCCAGATGAGATAATTTTTGAGGTATGGGTGGGAGTTAATGATGATTCTAGGGATTGATGATTCATTTTGTGAGGTCCACTTTTCTTTTAATTGCTAGAAAAGGGGAAACTCCAATTTGGGAATACTAAGTTTGTCTACCGATTGATATTTGCAGGATTTGCAGCGGACAAATTCAGTTGCTGTGACTGTGAATAATCTTCTGCAAATGTGAGGATGTTTTCTGTTTTTCTTTCATCACATGCATCCAGTACAAGAAGAAGATCCTTGGTATTCTACTTACATAGAATTTCAAGGTAATGCTGAAAGCAGAGGTTATTGGATTACAACAGAGACAGGTCCTTTCTTTTTAAGTGTTTTTGTTTCTTCAACTATCCCAGAATGTTCATTCTGTATATAAAGGAAGCTGGCCAAATCACAATCTCGCATGTAAGAAAGAAAAAATTCCAAAGGCAGTTACTGTTTCTTGTTTTCCTTTAATAATAAAGTTGCCAACTAGCCAAATATGCATATTCTGGTTGATCTTGCACCCTCACTTGAGAGTTGCTGCATCAGATGAGCTTACAGATCTATCGTGGTTGCCCTAACATGGTCTCACCAGTGCGTAATTAAGTAATTAACAATAAGTGAGTATATCTAGTCATAATATGCTTTTTGGAGCACCTCAGGGATGGACGAGTTGTGAAATCAGTCGGTATTTGTATATCAAAACTGTGTTTTTTGGTTGTATGGTTTAAAGTTTATTAGATTGTACAATTTAAACCATTGAATTAAGGGATAGCTCCAAATATCAAGGAGTTTGTCCAATGGTTCCTATCTAGCAATTTGGATGGTAAAACATAAAACTTTGTTATTTCATTTGAGTGCATGTGTTAGACGATTACTATTGTTCTTATCCCGAAACCGGAATCCACTCTGTACAATGCTCTCTAAAGGCTTCATTGAATGCATCTTTGTTTCAGAAGGGATTATGCATGGATATTTCATTATATTCTCTGTGTGATTGGAGCTAAACGTGAATATATAGGAAACATTCACATTGAAGTTGGGGATTCCTCTCCTTATGTTTTCAACTTTGAAGACAGATTTCAATTTAAATCGGAGAATTAGTGAACTGGCCAAAATATAAAATGCCAAGGAAGAAGAGACACCGGCATTGACCCGACCAAGAATGCCTAGCTTTAAGAAAGCATATGCTTGGTGTTCTACATCAGTTTGCAATCCCACTACATCGTCGCTCCGCAGCCTTTTTGGCTAGAAGCTCGGTAGCTGGTTTTATTAAATCTTTCCAAGACGGGACGACCTGTAGTCATATACAATTAATTCATTAATATATACGTATAATGACTAGAAGAACAAGCTAGCAACAAACAGGGAGTCCAGCATGAAACCAGACGACAAACACTATGAACTTTTTCATTGTAAACCCACAAGGAGAATGCTAAGTGCATTATGCTTTAATTTTTAAAAATAAATTGAAAAATAAAAATAAATAAAGCAGCAAATGGGGTGAGATGAAGTGCCTGTACACTTGGATCCACATTCCTTGAGATACAATCTATATTCTTTTCCTCCTTTTTTTTATTATTCTTTTTCACTTTTCCCTTGTGTTTTGTTGTTGTTCATGACTTTATTCCACGACAATTAATTGATTTCGAATTTCAAAGTCAAAATGTCTAGTTTTTTTTTTCTTTTTTTTTTTTTCACTTATTTCTTGATCCAACGTGTTCGATTTATATATATTTATGTATTTGAGAGTGTCTCTGGGAAAAGTTTAAGTGAAGGAGGCCACCATACACTTCATAAGTCTCATCACTCAATCACTTCACTCGCACCTTCTTCTGGACACCATCTTTTGTCAGTTGCATTACTTATTTACTTCGTTCTTCATTCTCCAAATTAAAGCATCTTCTTCTCTTGTGCATTATGTCCTCCAAATCTACTCTTGTAATCTTCTTCTTATGCCTCTGCTTGCATGCATGTAATGGACGACGCCATCTTAGGACCGCTGGCGAAGGTTCTAACACAATATCGCATTTTTCTACCACGGTTAGTGTTCTCTGATACTATTTTAGTTTTCCGTTCATGGGTTTGAATATAATTAACTACAAAGGAGTTTCAATATTTTTGGTCTTGTGTGCAGGTTTTGGAAAGTAGTCGTCAATTCCTGAAGAAGGATTCATCAGTTCATCAAGGAGGAAGCAACGAAGATGACACTGTTAATGAGCTTGAAGTTGAAGATCAATCCAAGTCTTCTGTTAAGGAATCGAAACTGCACGGTAGAAAAATGTCAGGTGTTGTTCCTATCAAGCCTCCTGCTTCAGTTTCCAGGAGTGTACCTGGCAAGAACCACAATGGACATCCCGGTTTCTTCTCCGATTACTCTAGGCCCAAAAGACATCCTCCTTGTCACAATTAAATTAATCTTGATTAATTATTTTTGTTCTTTTATCCACAAGTAATACGAAGTATATATTGAACTTGACTCTTCGGGTCAAGTGACTCTAGCCACGCTTGTAAAGTTCATATCTCCTTTCCCCAGGGCAACGGTTCGAGCTGACCCTATGACAAAATGTTCAAAAAAAAAAAAATACGAAGTATATTGAAGCCCATAGTTTTTTTGTTTTTTTGAACATGTTTACAAAGTTCAAATTTAAATTGTTATCCGAGAAAGGAGGAATGAAAGAATGTATTTTAACGTGATTTTATTGTTACTGGATTGGATCTGAAAATTAAGTGCAAAACCCATAATTTCTATTTGAATTTATTTTTGATTGAATTTCTATTTTAATCTAATTTGAAGTAGAGGCTTACCCAAAAAAGAAATCTAATTTGAAGTAGAATGCAATTCACACATTTGATAGGAGAAAAAAGAAAAGGAAAAAAAAGGAAAAAAAAAAAAGCCACCCCACTTTCTTCCCCGACCATTGCCAGGGTCGAAATGTTGACCTGTACTATCCACATTTCTCTCAAATTTTCTACTGTTTAAAAAGAAAAGAAAAGAAAAGAAAAACTAGATGTAATTCTATAATTTGGACTGTGTTGTGATATAAAATAAAAATAATTAGACGGAAAAATTGCCTCCAAAAACAAGAATCCACCCCTCTATCGATGGGCTCTTCGTGTAGTTACAGTTTTTCCACTAATGTAACCCAACAACACTTGCAGTATGTCGTGGCCCATTAATTTTTGAGCTGGATAATCCTGGACTGGTGATATCTGGCCCAATGACTAAACAAACCCAAACAAAAACAAACCTCCCGGATAGCATCTGGAATCCGATGCGTGCAGAGATCAGAGATTCATCACGTGGGGACCTCGGCTGGGGTCATATCTCAAGAACGCACGCTTCCCGATCCTATCCCCACGCTGTAATCGCAATAAAAGATTCTGCTTGTTCCAGTAATTCTCCACCACCAGCATGCCCATTTTAGTCATTTCAAAATCTTCAAATATGCGCCGAACCTGATAATTATAATTAGTAAAGTGTTTATCTTCATGAATATATTAAATATATATTTTTTATAAATTTAAATTAAAAAATAAAAATTAATATTTAATTTATTAATTATTTAATTAAATAAAAATATTATCATTTTTTTATTTTATTTGTTTA